GGTGAACGTCGCATCAATTACTCACGGTTGATACAGTCTTGTAATAAATTTAATCTTTCTGCTTATACATTAAATATGCTATACTAACAATAAGATTGATTTGGTATGATGCTGATTCTGCTTACAATAAAAGGAATTTAAACAATAAAGTTATTTTCCTATCATCAACTTGCATTATTAAATAAATAAAATAAATAGATGAAAATAAAAATTGTGACATTTCATTCTGTTTCTTTATCGACTATCGCTCACAGCTTTCGATATATTCGCGCAATTTTATCTCGTGTCCAATAAAGACATACGCGAGTACTGATGAAGAATGAGATACGCTCTACCAATTACTCCGGCGATCGTCCTCGTTCCGTAGCGAGTCTCCGCGATTCGACCATTCGCTCGCAGCATCCAAAGACAAACACGATGTGCTATCTATTCAAACCGCCACAAAGTGTAACAAGCGCATCCGCGAAACATACCGTACGGCCTGTATGCATGTAAACGTCCCGGGAGTCTCCGGCGGAGACTCTCCGCTATGCCAATCCTTTGCCACCAGGAGGACAACCGGGCCCTGCCACTCGTCTCGCCTCTCTTTCTCTCTCTTTCTCTCTCTCACTCTTCCGCAGGCGGTCGCCCGGAGCAGGCGAGAACAGAACCGCAATTTGCGTAATTGCGATGCACATCCTTCCCCTGTACCCATCGCGAAGACAGCGGTTACGATACGACCCTCCCGCGGCCCTGGACACCCCGTCGTTCTCCGTCGTCTCCCTCTTTGTCTCTGTCCGTCTCGCTTGATCCCGACCGTATCTTATAAGAGCGATAGATGGAAATTCTGCAGTCATGCGAGAGGGGCAACCTCCCCAAGCCATTCCAGCACGCAGATAAAGATGCGACTCGCCGCGCAATGCCAATTAGTTACATTCACGCCTCAGTTTCTACGCTAGGCACAGGTGCCAGGGGTGTGATTTCCGATGTCGGTAATCGCGATTGCGCGCCGCGGCGTAATGTCGATCAGCGAGAATGGAAGGAAACGAGGGAGAAGGAGAGGGACAGAGAGATAGCGATACGCGCGTCCTATTCACCGGTTATGCGCTCCGTAAAAAAAATAAAAAATCTGCGTAATAATATTATAATTTATAGAACGATCCCTTCGCGCTCTCGATCCGAATACGGGAATGCCGGCGGTGCGTAAATCGCCCGATGCATGTTCAACGGAAACATGCGTCTCGAGCAATAGGATGTCCGCGGAGCGTGGTATTAATTTTATTTATGGAGGATGGTGTTGCGGCACAAAAGTAATAATTCCGATAAGATGAACGCGCGAGTTGCGTCGCAAGAAGAAGCGCTGCACTTCGTAATCCGTATACGAATCGCTCGCGGCAAGCTGGAATTCTAACAACGCGAAGCCCGAGTCTCCGTCTATTTACGCGCTGTCAAGAAAAGACGGTATCTATCTGATTTCATCCGCGTTTTAACGACTTCGATGAAAAGATATTATATATATATATATATACTGTATTTTACGAAGCATGTGGTCATACCAGATACGCTATGATTTTAAATAGTGACCGCGCGCACACGATATATTTTGCGACAATCCATTTTTATCGATCGCACCTCATCCAGAATTATTCTCGCATACATTTATACATATAAATAATAACTTTGGAAATTCATAAACACATTATTTTAGAAGAGCGTAAATCGATTTTCGGACAGCCAGTAATTATGCTATCAATCTAATCAAACGGTTCGCGTAAATATTCCGATCGCGGGCTCGCGGGACGCGCGTTATATCGTAAATTGGATGCACATATTTTACAACGAGCGCGAGTGATTTAATACCGGTGCTGGAATATACCGGTAGTTAGGTACGCGAAATTGCGACAGGTAACGTATCCCCTCCCCTCTTCTTTTTACTCTTCGTCAAGATCGACGGCGTGCACAAAAAAAAAGTACGGCGGAAAAGGTGCTCGTTACATTCCGGCCGTGACGTGACACGCGAAGCCGTATTTAAGAGACCCATCTGTCCGACGACGTCCGCGTCTTATGTACCGCTTTCGATAATCTACGAGAAGCATTAAAATTCAGTTAGAAATGAGCGGTACCAACTACAATGATAAGTATATTACACTTGATAAAATTTTAGATAAAGAGAATAATATTTTAGAAAATCAAGTTTTTGTAGAATTTTAAGATAAGATTTTTAAATCATTGTTATTCATTTTTGAAAAAGTTGAATCTGATTGATATAATTTACACGAATGTACTAGATATAACCGTCAAAATCGAACGTCGATTTGTACACTAGTTTTCTGGTTTTTCTGTGAATCTATTTTAAAAGCCAAAATGACATTTATCAAAGTTATCTCATTTGTTTGTGCAATAAATATGGTGTAAATAAATATGGTACTAAAAGTTGTATATTTTATTGGAATTTTTTCGAGCAGAGCAAAGTAGAACAATATTAATATATTTATAAATTTGAATTATTACATTTATTAATTATTTTGACCATAATGTTGTTGATTGATAAATTTATAGAATAAGTATTTAAATATTTAATAAGCAGAAATTTTTAACAAAATGTCTTTTAAAAATTTATAGATTTTCTATAAGAGATTAATAATTTGTTTTATTACAAACACACACATGTGTTCATAATTTATTTTACGGATTTTAATATCCTCTACGATCTGTTGCTAGGTAGATTTTTGTCATGTATCTCACGTTAACGTACAGTTTCTCTTTTCCTGGAATTTTCAATTTCCTCGTATGTTAATAGGTACTCTTGTCATTACTATGTTAATAGGTACTCTTGTCATTACGTATTTCCTGCGCATCTCGCTATTTCACGGCTCCCTAAATTTTCTGATATGTCAATAGATATGCTGTTGGTTGTGCGTGACTCGCGTGCGTATACGTGCGAGCTCATCGCGAGCCACACGCGACTGCGGGAATGACTCGCGGGCGCGCCCTGTGCTGTGCATCCCGACCGGCGCATGCATCTCCCTCCGTGTGTCGGTGCACTCCGGACGCGAGATCAGCAAATCTAAGATCGTGCAACTGGTGTCCAGTGGCGTGTCCAGTACGTTGGCCGGCGCGAGCGGGAGCTAGCCGGACGCGAAGAACGAAGAGTGAAGGATGATGGTGCCCGGGGATGGGAAGACGATGGAGAGGCCCCGAAGAGAGAGAGGATGGGGAGGGGTGGAATGCGCGGTTCTCTCTCTCGAAGGAGGAGTTGTCGGCGGTGAAAAATCACGCATCCCGCCACCACTGCCATGGCCAGAGAGCGCAGCATCTGCTCTACATACCCTGGCTCTCAACCTATCTACCTGTTACGTTCGCCGTTGCCGGTCGACCCGTAAAAATCGCACAATCGAGGACCTCGAAGCGTATCTTCGCACCCATGGTGCATGCGATAATCGATTTACCCGGGTTCGCTTCATAAGCTCCTCGAAATAATTGTGTCGCGCAAGATAATTATAGCTTTCACAGATTGTGAACTCACCGTTCTCTTTGTAATACGTAGGTATGGCAGCTACTTTGATGATAAATTTACTCTTCTTTTGATTCTGCGAATCGGCCTAAAATTAAAAAAGACATTAAAAGTAAAAGAAAAAACTGGATTCAAAAACGCAAACCTAAATCGTGTGACTTTTATATAATGTTTAATTAATTATACTAAACTATTTAATTAATATAATCACAAACAAATATACATTTAGAATCTATCTATATTTTTGTATCGTTTTATACACACACAAAACAAGATCCAAAACTTCATATGCCGAAATAATAATTCGGAAGCTAATAGATGTGTAAACTGATAAATATATATATGTGAAAGAATCTAATTTTTTTGCACATTTTATATGCATGTCTTATGTCATTATTTCACTTAATAAATCCTTTGTTCACGCATCCGATGGATAATCGTAGCTATTTTTAAAAAAGTCTTTCGCGTGCAATCATCGGATTTCTGTGAAGGCACGAGAGAGAGTTCATCAATGAGAACCTCGAAGAATCGGAGTAGCAGAGCAAGATATACGTGTGCTGGCTGTGCTACCGGTCGGTCGGGTCGGGTCGCTGTTCTCCTGTGTTTCATCTCTCTCTTTTGCTCTGTTTTGCCTGTTGCTCTCTCCGTCGCCTTCCTCTTTTCACCTCCCAGCTTATCCCGCTCACCCTCGCCCTTTCTCCCCGTGGCCGTCTCCCCCTTTCCCCACCGCTGCCGCTCACTCTCTCTCACAAGAGTTGTTGTTCGACTGTTTTATTACTTTTATAAATGCCGCCGCCACACGATGCTACTACTACCGCTCGTCCTGTCGCGGCGGGCGTCTCCTTTGTTGGTCCACCATGGCTCCATTGTTGCTCGCAGAAAGATGGGAATTTTAATTTGATATTGTCTAATATTATTTATGTATGCACGCGGCTAGAGAAACCGAGGACGTTTTTCGAGAACTGCCGCGCAGTCGCATCGTGGCCGTCGCTTTCTTCCATTCAATGGGAAACCATAGTCACATCCATTCCGACGACTTAACTCCGTATCGAGAACTTCGTGCTCGCCTGAATTCTATTTCGCGATTGTGCGCATTCACGTATATTTTGCCTCTATATTCTTTATTATATAATTTTCTTTCAATAATAAATTTAAAAACGAATAAATTAAATAAAGGTAATTTTGATAATGTTTTCGCACATCTGTTTACGCAATACAATTATTATTTAACATATAACATTATTTATCATATCGATTTTAATATGCATCGTAGCTTTTCTTCTCGCAATTTATGTTCCGAGAAGAAAAATCTTGCTCCCCCAATAATATCTGACCTATTTGCAAGTATTCTTGGCCGTCCTTCAATGTGTTCAAAACTCCGTGGCAAATTGTTTGCCATAAGCATAATCTAATTACCGACATATGCGAGGTGTCCACCGACGAGCGATCTTGCAAGGTAGACCTGCGCGTACGTGCTTGGTCCACCTAGAGAAATCAATATCACAGACAACGTCCCCAGGTTCACTTGGAATTACTGTACGCGCAACAGTTGCGTCGAGACGAGGAAAGAGAAACGAACGAGAGTGCATCGTCGCGTGCATATACCATCGTTTAGACAATAATTGAATTTGCGAGGTCAATCAATTTGTAATTGTATATCGATTAGCTTTCGATCAGAAGAAGCCACGTAAGTTTGAATGCCACCTGATTCGCGTTGCTATGGAAATCCACGACAGACTTTGTATCGTACCGGCTGCGAATTGACAATATTTAGGTAAACAACGTGGGGTGCATAACCGACACTTTGTGCCAGAATGAAGGAGAAACGATTGTCGATGGGCATTAACGTTAGCATTATACTGATACTGACGATATTCGGTATGCTTCTGTTCTTGCCTTTGCGATTGTTATTCGACACGAATTATTCCGATCAGGATCAAAACGGGGATGAAAACGACGTCAGTGATCTGGCTGACTCGGCGAGAGAAAGAGAGCTTGTAGATCATCGAAAACTAAAACGCTGTCCGAATCTGCAATATGAAGATCGCTTGATGTCGGTCTTTCTGAGCGATTACGATGAAAATTGCACGTACAAGCAGGACGAGTGCGATGATGACGAAGATGACAACGATGATGACAGCGACTCTGAAGAAGAAGAAGATAGCAGGGAGGATGAAGAGGATGAGAAGAAAACCTGCGTATCCAAGAGACGCATCGAGGAAGAAATGAAAGAAAACGCTGAAGAGATCTTGAAGACGCGTCAGATGAAGTCTGTCACGGTGGCAGGTCACATACTTGTGACGATGTTGCTCGTATCAGTCATAGCTGCTCTCATTGAAGTACTGCGAATACGCTTCGCTATTAGAGAAAAAGTACTGCGCCACATGTTACAGAAATTTTTAAGCTCTTGCGTTGAAACTTAGTATCGTTAAAATGTCTTTATAATACACTGGAACTTATGTTAGTGAAAAATTTCTCGGAAAAAATGCACGTTTTAAAAATCTTCTGCCCGCGCTTTTTGAAAATAATTTGGCTTTACGTATAGCTGTTGTCTAATTATTCAAATATTTATTTAAAAGTAAAGTCATATCATTTCAATTCTTTATTTCGCGATTGATACTTTATTTCAACGCAAACAACTACATTATTTTTAATTATTTGCGCACGTTATTCACTATCCGCAATTTGCATGTTTCCAAATTTAAATTCAAATTTGGATTAAGTTTTCAATAATTTGCACTGCACGAAATTAATTGCGATATTCGGCAGAGACCGACGGATAAGCGCTTCGTTTTTCCTCGCGGAGCTAGTAAAGACCGTCTCTCGATGCTCGGATAGATACGCATACGTGAAAAACTATTGCACCTTTTCTTTTCAAAAATGCATAAGGATTCGTCTAGGGCAGGAACGATTACCTCTCGGAGATGCTCCTCCAGCGTGGACCTACCCGCCACAAGACGTCCCATTTTAAGAGAATTAATTAGGACTCAAAGGTCTTTTGAGATACCTGGAACACCCCGTTCCGCATTGCGTTTGTTAGGTATGTGCGGAATAATTAATTATGATTTTTTAATATCTCCATAATTAATTATAATTTTTTAATATCCTTATAATTAATTATAATTTTTTAATATCCCCAATTATACAAGAAAAGCATTAAAAGAGATATCTGCAATATATAAAAAATCGATTCAATTTCTCTAATAATACTTTGTATGGAACTAAAGATATTTTTATTTATATTTTTGAGAGAGAGAGAGAGAGAGAGAGAGAGAGAGAGAGAAAGAAAATCAAAATAAGAGAGAGAGAGAGAGAGAGAGAGAGAGAGAGAGAGAGAGAGAGAGAGAGAGAGAGAGAGAGAGAGAGAGAGAGAGAGAGAGAGAGAGAGAGAGAGAGAGAGAGAGAGAGAGAGAGAGAGAGAGAGAGAGAGAGAGAGAGAGAGAGAGAGAGAGAGAGAGAGAGAGAGAGAGAGAGAGAGAGAGAGAGAGAGAGAGAGAGAGAGAGAGAGAGAGAGAGAGAGAGAGAGAGAGAGAGAGAGAGAGAGAGAGAGAGAGAGAGAGAGAGAGAGAGAGAGAGAGAGAGAGAGAGAGAGAGAGAGAGAGAGAGAGAGAGAGAGAGAGAGAGAGAGAGAGAGAGAGAGAGAGAGAGAGAGAGAGAGAGAGAGAGAGAGAGAGAGAGAGAGAGAGAGAGAGAGAGAGAGAGAGAGAGAGAGAGAGAGAGAGAGAGAGAGAGAGAGAGAGAGAGAGAGAGAGAGAGAGAGAGAGAGAGAGAGAGAGAATAGTTCGAGATGCGTGGCTTCAGCGTTCGCTCGTACGTAGCCGTATAGAGCGCCCCTCCCACCGCTTCGCCGCGCGCCTAGCAACGCCTGAGTAGGAAGTCTCTTCTCGCCGCGCGCTTGTGATTGGCCCATCTTTTTTAATTAATTTCTTAATAATTATTACGAAAATCGCAAAATGGTAAAGCACTTTTCTTCTCGGTTTCATCTGCTCTACCTGCACATGGCGGGTGATCCGCGAATTATGGGACACCCTGTATAAAAAATCGATTCAATTTCTCTAATAATACTTTGTATGGAACTAAAGATATTTTTATTTATATTTTTGAGAGAGAGAGAGAGAGAGAGAGAGAGAGAGAGAGAAAGAAAATCAAAATATAATTTATAATAACTACAGATTAATATAATTCGAGATGTTCAATAATTTGGAGGAAATTGTATAATCAATTCATTTATATACAATTCTATTAATCAAATCAAAAAGTCAAATTTTCTTTTCATAATAATATCTCTAATAATTAAAATACTATTGGCAAAAAAAAAGTATCTCACTTGCATCATGTAGGTTATCGTAAATAGCACAAAGCCATTTTGATTCGATTAGCGCGGCAGACGAACAAATTTAATTATCCATCCTCAGGAGCACGACCACCCCCGCTCATCCGCCGCTCCTCGTTTCCGACGCCACAAGCGAAGCAAGCTGCTACTTCGTCTGTTTGCGGTACGCCAAACACTCGGCTGACGCGGCGTCCATCGGCTGAATCAGAGGAAGAAATCGGGATTGTCACCAATATTCTTCATCATCGCACCCGTTTAATCCGACGTCATTGAGACGGCACGAGGATAGGTAGATATGCATTACATTTATATAATTTATATCGAGTTGTCATCTTTCGATACATGATGTAATCGTTGCAATTTTTATTTCCTTGAGAAGTAGGTCAATTTATATATAATAAATGATAGATTAAACATTTTTTTTTTCCAGTGGTATCAGTTCATCGAATTCTTTGCACCTGCATATGACAACATTAACAGGGTATGCGTCTTCGACTACATGGTATGCTCTTTAATATAATAATTTTTATAGTTAGATGAAAAATAACGTATCGATACATTTTTTTAAAATTGATGGATGTGTTTTTGCTTGTCAACAGGTCATATGCAACGCACAACGATCACGTCCAATGACCTTTTTTATACTCGTGCAACGTCTTTCATGAAAAGTCCTTCACTAACGGATTCACAGTATCCTTCAATACAATCCTTTACGATTTAACTTTAACAAGTAGCGCTCTATCTCCGCTTTTTATATCATGCTCATCGTTCTACTTTCTAGCCAAATGATATTTTGATATTAATTTGAAAAAGTTACTAATATGCAGAATCAAAATTCAGAATCAAAAGATACTATAAAGCACAATTAAAAGCTTACTATATTATCATAGCACATATTAAGACTAGTATGCTTAATCAAATAATCTTTTTCCACACATTTTGATAACACACAGTACTTTAAGATCACATAATCAAACAAAAACTAACTATAATTATTACAACTCAACTAATAATGATTTATTAATGTAATAAATCATTATCATTATCTTATTGTCATAATAATATTACACATACCATATTTTTAATATTTACTGTAACAAATTTATACATCAGAAACACAAGATAGTATTTCTAAATTTATTCGTAACTAAATAAACGATAACCACAACGCTTTTGTTGTGGTTAATCTATGGAAGAATTATTTTTGTAAAAATGTTCTTCTGGTGCATATTTTTCTCGATATTTTATGCATTAAATAGAATAAATAGATGTGCATTTTCAAAGTAACAGTACAACGATCGAATATTCGTATTCGTGTATAACGTTTATTATATTTCTCTAACACATTTATATATATATATATATTCTTTTTATCATATAAATCTATTATTATATTAATACATAAAAAAACTCAAGAAAAGTTACAAAGGTTGTCCTATTTCTATGAAAGTCATAACAATGAATTATCATGCATGAAAATGCAGGTGAATATACTAGAATATTAGCTTCGCAAGATTGTAAATAATTTCGAAAGAATTATTTCGATGTATTTTCATAATCAGAAGATATCATTGTGTCTCTGTATCAACGAGCTCCCCATAAGCTTACTCCTGGGATCATCTTGCCTCCTGTGTCTTTCTCTTCCATGTGATATATGCAAAATATAATTATAAATTATAGACTATATATTCGTATATATTATACTATGTCACTATAATATAATACTATAATACACGAACATGATGTGACTGGCGGCTACGATTACATTTTCAAAACTGTGATACGCTCTTTCACATTAATGTCATTATTGCACAAAGCATTTGAAAATGAAATATATTCATGCAATATATTCTCATGCAAAAAAAAAAAAATAAAATATTTCCAGACTATATTATTTTTATTATTTTATTATCCGTTATAGAGAATTATTTAGGATGGATAAAGTTCCAGAAAAAGTGTATTTTAGTTAATTCAAGAGAGTGGACATGTGAAAAATTGTAAGTATGAAAATATAATTGGAATAAATATAAAAATTGTCTCTTTCTCTCCCTCTTTCTCAACGCTGTCTTTATTATTATCTCTCTTTTCTCTAAACAATATATATTTATTTAAAAAAATATAGAAATTAATGTGTAAAAAAATAATTGATATTCTTTTATAATACTCTTAATATTAAATCTTGACTATTTTCAACAAAATATTAGTTTTAATATGATACAATTTTTGTTTGTTTAATAATCAGCTGTTTCTATTTTTGTCGGCAAAGTAAAATCTGACAAAAGACGACAGAATGGAAAAACGAAGCAATATATCAGTATGCGCCATCTGTCGAACAGTTGAGATATTTATTCAGTGCAACAAGTATATATATAAATGTTAGATATATTTACCACTCAGCTGTCAGCTGTACTCTCAGCTGATATATTTAGTACAATTTTCTTTTTGTGATTATTTAACTTAAATATTATCTACGCTGTAATATGATTTATTCGTGATAAGAATTCGTGGTTATTTTTTATCAGGATAAAAGCTATCATAATTGAGAAGCAATATGGAAACGGTAATTCGTTAATTGTTTACAATCTATTATTTTCATATTCAAATAGTAAATGCGTATTTTATTAAATTATATTGTTGAGATGATAGTATTGATTTAATCAGTGAATTTGTATTTTGTACTTTTATTTTAAATATACATAATTATCTATGAAGGAATATAATTAAACAATAATTTTATATTTTTTAGTCTGACAAAAGACAAATTCCGACGCTATTGAGGAAAGTATTAGCAGTGGATACCTATTTGACAGATGTGTTTGTTAAGCTCGTAGAAAAATTTCTACCTTTCAAACAGTTGAAAGTACACTATCAATTATTAGAGGTACAAGTAATCTTATTTACCCCTTTATTAATTAATTGTTATAAATAAATATCTTTGATTATATTTACTTTAATTACATTTCTTACAGGTATCGTGTCATGGCATACCTTGGCTAGTAACTTCTCTCGTATTAATTTGGGTTCTCAACAGCAAAAGCTTGTATCAAATGCAAGTAAATTTTCTAATAGGTAAATAAAATTCTCCTATTATTTAAAATTTGTGTAGAATATACATAAATAAACGAAAATTATTTCAGGGTTGTTGCTTGACACTATCTCGGTTGCTGTGATAAAGGCAATCACACGAAGAAGACGGCCAATTTCTAATGATGATCCATTTACTGTAGGTCCTGATAAATATTCTTTTCCATCTGGACATTCATCTCGTGCTGCGTTTATTGTGTATTTCTTTTTCTATATATGGCCTATATCTTTGATATGCGTACCACCTTTACTAGCATGGTCCTTCTCCGTATGTATGTCTAGATTATTGATGAGAAGACATCATATACTTGATGTACTTGTTGGAGTATTTCTAGGTATCTTTGAAGGCCTAATTATAGGCTATATTTATTTAGAGCAAGAGACATGTATTAATTTAATCTCTTGGATTACAGATGTCAACATACATGCATCAGAATAATAATATTATATAACTGTTAATA